TTCCAACACTAATTAGTGGTTGCTTGCAACCTTGTTGGAAGCGAAGATAATTAAAAAAAAAGTATATATATATATACATATATATATACATATATATATATATATATATATATATATATATATATATATATATATATATATATATATATATATATACATATATATATATATATATATATATATATATATATATATATATATATATATATATATATATATATATATATATATATATATATATATATATATATATATATATATATATATATATATATATATATATATATGTATATATATATATATTTATATATATATATATATATATATATATATATATATATATATATATATATATATATATATATATATATATATATATATATATATATATATATATTCTTGTCTTCAAAAATGTTTAAACAAAGTTTGCCTTAGCTATTTTTTGTTCATAAGTTAGATGTTCACACTTATCTAACTTACTTAATGAAGTGCACCAACGAGAAGGTAAGCCATAGGACTTTGCACTCCATCTGTAAGCTGTCATGTTGCCTGAGGTTAACCCATTTCTGGATTCTTTACTTTATAGGCAGTTAATGAAAAGTAATAGTAACTTAGCCTAGGGGTAGCCCTCCGTTTCTGTATTCTTTTCTTTTTATATTTTAACTTTTTTATATATCTGTTATAACATGTAGTTTAGCATAACCCATAAAGATAAAAAATATTGATAAGTAATATAAAAATACCCTTTAATTAAACAAAATGGGTACATGTAAACACATAAAATATAATTAATACCATCGAAAAAGATAAAAATTACTCAAACGCAGTAAAAACAGATTATTAAAACATATTTTTATTGATTTTACTAATAAAGAAAGTAATTTAAGTTTAAATTATAACATAAAATTATATTTAATAAAAAAAACCTCATGATCCTCGCTACAAAGAATATGATTACTTTTTTCAAAATCAATTAATAAAAGAAATGATCGTAGTTCACCAGGTTCATTATCATACTTAACATAGAATGTGGTTCGTTTCCACTTATTTGATCAGTTTGTACTACTTGTGCACATTATAAAGATACCTTAAGAGAATTTTTTTTGCTAACACAATGTTGAAAATAATACCTACAAAATCAGATGAGTTATTAAAGTTTTTTTTTGTTGCTTTATTAATTTGTTTAGTCTTGTATCCTGAATTTTTACCATCAATTCTTTTTTTGTTTTGTTTTCAACAGCCACATAATGTAAATAGGTTAAAAATTATTACTCAAATTACTTAAAGATTTTTTGGCATTAAATTTGCTCAAAAGACAGTAGTAAGAGTAGTCAAATTTCTTTTTTTGGTTCTTCTAACTTTGTTTAAAAAAAAGTTTTTTTGTCACATTCCATACCGGAGATGACAAAATAAAAATTAAGTTGAGCAAGAAGTACTTTTAATTTTTAAGATTCTTCTGCATTACAAACTTTTCAACAGCCTTTTCCAATGAAATCCATGCTTTTATATTTAAACTTATTAAGTTATTAAAAGCTTAATTTATTTTGGTATATTTAATTTTTTTCTCTATTTTTTTCTTTATACTTTGCTTAGACACATAGCTTTATCCTTTTTGAGAACTGCTTTTTTTTAACCATATTTGGTATAAATATAATTTAGTAATTCTTTTCTTACTTTATCAGTTTTACTATTTAGTCATTTTTATGTTTGATTCTGAGACCAAATTGTCGAAGCCTAGAAAGTTTCAATATTTGCATTTGGTTTTATGTGTACCATTAAATTACAATGCCAACTTGCTATTTTTGCAATGCTTCTTTAACTTTCTGATGTTATCAACTAGTTGAGTTATCTTTATAGCTAATGATTTTTTACAGCAAAGCAGTTACACAAAACATAGAATATACAGCATTGTATTAGATATTTTTAAATGTTTAAAATCCAATAATAAATTTCTTTATTAAGCATTTTATCTAAATAAATATACAATTTTCCAGAAGTCAAGCCAAATAAATATATAAATTTAAAACAGTTAATTACATTAACTGTTTTAAGTTTATAAGTTTTAAACAGTTAATGTAAATTATGTAATTCAATTACATTCTAATTTTTAAAATTTTATAACAGTTTAGTTGTTTATATATCAAAACAATACAAATACTTTTTAAATAACATACACAATGTTATATATGCAATTTATAGTGTAACTTACAAAATGATAAAACTTACTGACAAATTTCCCGATGATTTAATTGAATTTAAAATGAAAGTATTTACATTTGTACACAATACTATGTAACTACAAAACTTTCAATGAGTGTTTTTCATTGAAAGATACTCATTAAAAGTTTTAAGGATTTTGTATTAAAAACAATGAAGTACAAAATTATTTTATAAGAAATACAAATAATTATCACTTAAAAACTAGAACAAGGAAAGCGGACTAAAAACTATCTTTTGCAATGGGATAAAGTTTTACAACAAACTGCCAAATGAATTTAAATCTCTTGACATGAAGGGATTCAAGAATCAAGTCGTGAAGTTTTTAAAAGAAAAAGGATGTTTTTAAAAAAAGACAAAAAGTGTTATGTACTATTTTTATAATGATTTTAAATAGCTGTAAACAGGCTGATCATCATCATCATTATCATCATCATCATCATCATCATCATCATCATCATCATCATCATCATCATCATCATCATCATCATCATCATCATCATCATCATCATCATCATCATCATCATCATCATCATCATATTAATAATAACACTTATTATTATTATTACTTTTCAGTAAGTAAATAATAATACTATAAAACTGAAAAAAAGTTATTTCAGTAATCATTCTTTTGAATATAGTTAATAAAAAAACATATACAACAATTAAAGCTAGATATATCACCCTAATTATTCTATGTCTTTATTTTTATACAAGTAAAGACCATCTACGTGCACATTTTTTTCCACATAAAAAAATAGTCAAACGCACATTTCTTTGAGCGCGCTAACTAACGTTAGTAAAACGGGGGCAATTTTACAAATCACCAGTTGAAAAACAAAAAACACACCCTAATTAACCACTTAACAATTTAAAATACATACATATTATTAATAAATAGTTGCAAAACCTATTTTTGTGTGAAGACGGATAAATTATCTAATTTAACTGGTATTTTAACAAAGTTGAATCATTTAAATGTAAATAACTTGTTCAATTCAAAAGTAGAATGTCGTCTTCACTTAAATAAATGTTCTACATTCTTTTCTGAAAAAAAATGATATCAAAACACGTATATAAATTTGTAGTTTTTATGGGTGGGTTTTCATTTTTCGACACCTGCCAGAAATCGTTTCATGGGTTTTTCGGACGAAATTTTTCAAAAACAAACTGCGTTTTTTTTTCCGCAATAAAAAGTAACGTGACTAAACTCCCTAATTTTGTTTTATTGCATGAATCTATTTTCTTGTGCGACCGTGGCGCAGTAGTTACAGCGCTTGCTTTATAAGCAGGAGATCCAGGTTCGAACGAGCTCTGAACATATTTTTGCGTCACGGTAAGGAAGGAGGCGTGAACTTCCTCGTTAAATGCACTTCTGCGATGCTCTGTGACAAGACCGTTAGATCTTCTTGAGGCAATAACAAAAAAAAAAAAAAAATTAACTTATATTCAAACATCATCATTAAAATACTTTTATTATTAATTTATACATCATTGTTTATAATAAAACCTGAATTTTTTGTGGATTTATAACTTTCATAGTTATTTATATTTCGTTTTATTTTAATTTTTATTCTAATTTTTAATTTATTCTATTTAAATATAATTTGTTGAAGTATTTTGCAAAACTTGTGAGTACTCGGTACTTATTTTTATTTATATAGTAAAACTTGCAGAACGTTTAAACCCCATTTTTAAAAAGGCTTGGTAATAAAATAACTTGACTTTTTTATGCTTCTGCCAGGTTATTAATTATTGGAGTTTCTTCAAAAACAAATGATTCAATAATTTTAAAATTTTTCCAGACCATATAAAAAAGCTTATAGAGAAGACTAGCATGCCAGACATTATTGAAAGCCTTTGATATGTTTATAGAAATAGCCCTTGCATTAACGCTTTCATCCAATCCATGATTGATGAACATTTCTGTTATAACGGTAAACGAGTCAGCAGTAATACGAGAGAATCAAAATTATTTCTTAGAGAGTAAGTTGTTCAGATATCAAAAGATTTTTAAATAAAAACTCACAAAATTTGGTAACAGTAGTTATAGTACAAAAACTGATTGGATAACATTTGGATCATAGCTGAAAAAATTTTTTAAATAGGAAATTTTTAAAAAGATGAGATTCAACAGATGTAAGCTTACTTTTAAGACGAAGAATATTTGGTGGTAATAATGGTTATTGTTAAATTTGATGTATTATCTTTTGTTAATATCTTGCCGTACTTAAACTAGACTAAGTAAATGAAAACCCACAGAGAAATATGTAACATTTCTATTGAAAAAACTTTTGATATAAAAAAGTAAAAAAGGACTTCACTTCAAACTGCCAAAACCTTAACTCATCCAAGTTATTTATTAAATATGTATATGTATATATATATATATATATATATATATATATATATATATATATATATATATATATATATATATATATATATATATATATATATATATATATATATATATATATATATATAATATATATATATATATATATATATATATATATATATATATATATATATAGAATAAAATATAAATAAAAACTTTTGACAAAAATTACAAAAATATTAAATAATAAAAATCATTTTATTCTTATTGAAAACAACAAAATACTTAACTACACTACCAATGTGATAAATGCTGTTAGATAAAACTTTATTATGAACAGAATAATTGGATAAATAAACCCAAGCCGATAAGATATAGAAATATATATGTAAAATTATAAAAAACAACAAAAACATACAAAGTTTAATGTCGTCATACATACCGAGATAGAATGTTGCTAATCAATCAAAGAAACAGATTTTGAATAAAATATAGCAAAAGCGACATAAACAGTAAACGAAACCACTACCACGTCAAACGTCAAAAAACTACGTAAGGCGGGAAAAATGTATATATACAGTGGTTTTCATAAATTTAGACGCACTCATATTTGAGAATAGAAAATTTTAGGTATTTTAACGATAAAACAATGACGAAAAAAGAATTCGGTTTAGTTTTTTTTCTATTTATCAGATAAATACATACAGAATACAAAATTTAAAAAAAGTTTACAAAAAAAAATGAAATACTAAGTAATAATTAGGTACAACTACATGGTATTAAAAAAATTAGACAAAAAAAATTATTCATAAATTTAGACGCACGATACATTAGAAGGCGTAATTTATGAACCAATCAATATTTTGTGTATCCGCCTTTTGCTTTAATACAACTAAGAACTCTTCTAGGCATAGACTCAACAAGATTTTTGCACATCGCTTCTGGGACCCCATACCAGGTCTCCTTAAGGAATTCCTTCAGCTGACCAAGTGTGGAAACTTGAACCTTTGCTAATTCACGATCAATCCAAGCCCAAATGTTTTCAATCGGGTTCAAATCAGGTGAATATGGAGGCCACGGTATTGTCATAATATTATTATCGTTGAACCACTCCTTTGTATAGTATGCAGTATGTGCAGTAGCGCTATCTTGTTGAAGTTTCCATGGTTTATCATTGAGCATAAGCAGGTCAGTTGATGGAATTAGGTTGTTTTCCAGTACTTCTACGTATATTCTAGAGTTGATTCTTCCGGTGTATGTTTGGCACATACCAACACCTTTGTAATTGAAGCATGACCAGATTCCTATCGAGCCTCCTCCACTTTGTACAGTTGGTCTAATGTACCTGGCGTAATACTTTTCGTGAGCCATTCTTTTGACTGTTGTGTTAGATTTGCGATTGATAAGCTCAAAGTTACTCTCATCACTCCACATAATGTTTTCCCATTGATCTATTGTCCAATACCTTCTTTCACGACACCATTTTAGTCTCCTTTGTTTATCATATGGACGCAGAAGCGGTTTCTTCAAAGCAGTGTAGACTCCAATCTTGTATTTGATAAGTATTCGGCGGACTGTGCTTTGAGAAATAGATGTATTTCGCGTTGTATTAAATTCTGTGGTCAATTCTTTGTAACTAATTCTTGGATTAGCTCTGTCAGCTCTAAAAAGAACACTATCGTCCTTTATCGTGGTTGACAAGGGTCTACCTGGCCTCGTTTTCTCGCTGGCACCACCAGTGTGAAGAAAGCTTTGTTTCGTTGTCTGAACGCATTTCTCAGAAACTCCAATTAACTTGGCGATTTCTCTATTACTTTTGGTTCCTTCTTTGATGTGCGCAATAATTTGCCATCTTTCACCTTGAGTGATACGTCTTTTGCCTATTTTTTACGTTTTTTTAGTGCAAAACTAACTTAACTTTTGTTTATTTATTAAATAATGATTAAATAATTCCAGGTAAGTCATATTTATATAAGGTTTTTTGACAAAATCAATTAATTTAGGCCTATTAATGAAAAATATAAGAAAAAAAACTACTAGTTAACTATCAATTAACAAGATATAAGACTTTTTTAATTGTGCGTCTAAATTTATGAACAAAATAAAATCAAGTTTATCAATTAACTTTTTTGTGTTAATCGGTATAAAATGAGTAATAAACATCCTGTAAAAAAAAATAAGGTACTCTATAATAGAGTTTCATTTCCTCTTTTAAATTATATATCAAACATAGCGGTAGCACTTTTATTTTGAGTATTTTCTTACATATATGAAAAAAAAAAATGAATGCGTCTAAATTTATGAAAGCTACTGTATATATATATATATATATATATATATATATATATATATATATATATATATATATATATATATATATATATATATATATATATATATATATATATATATATATATATATATATATATATATATATATATATATATATATATATATATATATATATATATATATAGGTACCTTTATAAAAAACTTAAACTTTTATTTTTTAAACCAAATTAATTCTAGTATATAGAGATTATTAAATGACAAATTTTTATACCAAATTTATTATCTGAGAACAACTAGAAGAAAAGATATTCAATTTTGAAGGTGGAGAAAATAAAGTGGACATCTTAAAGATAACAAAGATACACAAGAAAATGACTTCAAAAAGTGGACTTTAAAACATAGCTCATAAAATATTAACAATTTACCGTCACATATATAATAAAAACTGTTTATTATATCCCACTTATCTTAATTAAATTAAAAAAAAGGGGGAAGAGGGTTGTTTAAGCCCATATCAAAAGTGGGTCAAATTCGATTCAAGTCATTTTGTTTAAAAAATTATCATAATCAATCTAAATTTAAGTTTATTCATGCTTAAATCTAATGAGAATGTAGAAAAAATTGAAGTGATTGGAGCGTGGGAGCTAAAATAGCCAAAAAAGTTTGTTTTTTTTCACCCCCACATAAAAATGTGGGGACTGAGTTATTAAAATACTTTAACGTATTATCTTATACTATATTTAAATCCATCAACAGACCCAATAATTTTTGATATTTTTAAAGTTAGTTTTTAAAATTATTTCACATTGTCATAACCTTTGAGCATTAAAAAGTGATTAGATTAAATTTAAAATCTCTCCGTGAATTTAAATTTAGTTTTTGATAATAAACTTAAAAATTTATTAACTCTTTAAATTACATTTGAGATAGGGGGGGTTCTAACTTTTTTAGATAGTTTTGTTCCTAAGTTTTAATTACCACAATTTCTTAGCAAATCATTCTTATTTGACAAATGATTGAAGATACTTATACTTAGCGTTATCACAATGTCAAATACAGTATCTGAAATGTAAAATAATCCTGTGTCTGCTCTTGGCAGTGCCAGATCAAGGGGGGCTAAGGGAAGCTATAGCCCCGGGCCCCGAAAATTTAGGGGCCCCCAAAAGTTTTAGAGGACCTTTTTTTTTTTTAAGGGTCTTTTTTTTTAAGTCATTTTAAGGGTCTGGCCCATAAAAAGGCCTTCAAAAACAAAAATAGCCCCGGGCCCCAAGATGTCTTAATCCGCCACTGGCTCTTGGTTAATATTAAAAATTTTAAAAACTAAAAGGAATAAATAAAAATGTATACAAAATATTCAACATAAAATAAAAGATATTTAAACCTTATATATTATAGCAATTTTTTAAATGAACTCCAGGTCTTTAAGTATTAGATCTGCTTTAACTCCTTCGTGGCTTATGTCAATATCTTCAGCTTTATTTTCATTGACTTTCCAATATACTATTGTGTATGATTAGATTTTTTTTTTGTTGCTACCTTTTGATCAACAGTTCTACCAAAAAATAAATGTATATTGCCATCATCTAGCTCCAATTTATGGCTTTAGAGCTACCCTATCAAGTTTCCCTTTTTCAAAATTAGTCCTAAAATTTGCTTTTGTTTTTCATCAATATTAACAAAAAGAGGATTTGTGGTTTTGGCATTTTTAGCTATTGCTCTTTAAACATCTTTGTCTAGTTTCTTTCTTTCCAGAAGTTCTTTTTTTAAATTAGCTTTGGCGCATTTTTTTCCTATTTCTTCATATAAGAGATTGTTAAAATTTTTAGAGGCTTGACACGTTAAAGCTCCCCTGCAAATTGCAAACTGAATAAGGTCTTCTTGTTCTGGTAATGTTTTTCTCATCTAGCCATATTAATGTTTTATTTACACTGGCTTTTATTTTAGAATCTAGAAAACCAAAAGCATTAGGAGTATGACGCAAAAAAAAATTCAAGCATACCCAAGATCCTTTCAGCCTCCATTGTATAAGGTGGAGCAGATTGTGTTGTTTTTATCATTTCTTTAGATGGATTTGAGAGATTGCTAGTCTAATACCTGGCCATCTGTCTTTTGAGAACTGTCTCTTTGTAGCTTATCAAAGCTGATAAAATTTTTACTAAAATATTTTTATTTTTTATTACACGTAGAGATTGGGGTGCTTAATCTTCTTTAATATTTAATACTTGACTAAAAATATCCGCAGCTTTATAATGAATTGATTCTGGATTACTTTCGAAGAAAGCTAATTTCCTTATTGGTTTCTGGAAAATGTCACCCTAATAAAAAAAAATGTTTGTACATTTTTTAAATTACTTTATTAATTTATTAAAAAACCTTAACAACCTACAAACTCAAGATTACTCTTTCCTGTTGCATTTTTATAAACCAGACTCATCCATGGCCCAGTTATTATTTTTCTTATCAGGCCCAACCCTTGCAGTTGTACAAGTGTTATGTCATTACTCATATCTTGAAGTAAGAGATTGCAAATTTTAATTTTCGTGTTGCTAGAACTACGAAAAAAAATTTAATACATGAAATTCTATTAAACTTAATATTCATCTAAAAAAAAGTTACTTTTTAAGAAAGATTTTTATAAGTCTTTTGTATGTAACAGCAACCCCTGCTATATGGAACAAGAGATGAAATCTACTATCAACATATCTAAGGAATAGCCCTGGAGCAACATTGTTTTTTTTAAGACAGCTTTTAAATGCTTCAGGATCACCTTTAAAACTATGCCTGATTTTTAAAAGGCATAAAGAAACAAATAATAAAGAAACAATTGCTCACAAGAAAATAAAAAAATAAAAAAATTTAAATGATGAAAGATATACATATAAAAAATTACCTTAACTTCGAAAAAACTTTTGAGAACTGTTACTGCAACCCCATCAATCCCTTTAGCCAGTTTTATCTTTAACTCATTATCTATTGTTTTAAGATCTAATAATGCTTTTAAGGCAATAGTTTCCAATGGATGAACATTACAGTGCAGTTGGATTAATTGAATGTCCATCTCCTCCTGAAGCATGTTTTTCACACAACTAATAACAAGTGCTCTGTCTGAGAGACAAATTTTGATTTTTTGAGTAAATTGGTCTAAAACTTCTACTCTTGGCATATTTTTAAACTCTACAAATGTATTGACAAGTTTTTTTATTACACTGACAGTATGAGTGGCACAGTCAAATCCTGTACCTCCAGCAA